GCGCACTGCTGGCCCTCGACGTAGGAGGTGGTTATCATAACGAAAAAATAGACGAAGATTATCATAACAAAAATATACAGTTTAGGCATAGTATTTGGGGTGTAGCTAGACCAGGTGCGTGTGGTGGACCCCCGTGGTAAGAACATTGTCCCATGCACGACTGAGTACTGTGGCCAGATTCTCGCAGAACATATTTGTACATTGTCCGCTGGTTCGGAGTAGCTACCATGCATTTTCATTGCATGCACTAAGCATGCACTAAGAGCGTAGTATGTATTTCGGGTAGGAATGTTCGGGATGGAATTGCCACTGAGCTCTTTCTTCCTTCGATCAGCGCTCTCTCTGGACCAAGGGCGTGGTACTTCAGTAAAACAGGGCCAAGTTGCATAACTCTGGAAGCACAATTCGCGAAATCCGTCGCGTCGAGCGCAACCCGATGCTAGAACCTCGGATTGCGCTTTTCGGGTAGGGATCACAACTCATCTGGAACATTGGCTTGTGCTTGAGGAATGCGAAGTGCCTGAAATGAAACACGAAACCTCAGTTACCAGATTCCTGGAGCGGAGTCAATTTTCGCATTTTGCTTCTTTCGCGCGTAGCGGCCTTTGAGTTGCGCAACCTGAATTGCGCATCACTCTCAGTATGTTCGCCAACTTGTTTGGCAAATAATGTCGAACCGCATTACTTTCGCGAGTTGCACGACTCGGCCAAGTTGCGCAACCCACGTTTTTCCAAGGTTCCACGACCTGGAAGGCGCGCGGGGCTCCCAAGAACCTTCACCTCGTTGCGATCACTTGGATGCCTCACGCTGGATTTGCTACGACTGGAGGCTTTCACCGTGATTTCGGCAATTTAGGCCGCCTAAAGTCCCTTCAGCTGAAAGACTACTAGACTCTTCCTGATTCCCGGAACCTATTGGGTAGCTTGCCTATCTAATGCATCAGCGGCTCCGGAATGTTTTACGCGCCTGATACTTTTTCCAAGCTGTCATGTCTGGTGCTCCTTGAAAATCACAAATGCAGCTTCTTTTCTCCGCGGCCCATGAATCTCGGTCATTTGCAGGCACTTGAAGGCATATTCATGGAGGAGGTGTTTGGAATTGTCGGGCTTCCCAAGACTCGCATGCAGCTGCAGCGGCTGTGGCGCCCCTCCCTAAGTCGCTGCTTTAGAATTATTTCTCTGCCTGGGTCACTGTCTCTTGTCTCGTCGCTCACCTGTCTCGACCCGGCTACCCCATCACTTCGAATTATGCCCAACAACATCGGGCAGCTGCCAAAACTTCGGAATTTCAAGTTGGATGCTCCATGTCTCACGCGCTTCCCAGATTCTATCACCCAAGCCACTGTGCTCCAGCGACTCCCTAGAAGGCATCCAAACTTTTATGTCCCTGCCTGAAGAAAACAGGCAGCTGAATTCTTTGGAGGTCTTGATCTTAGCCACCCTTCCCTGGGTTTCCCACCTGCCCGAATCCCTGAGGCAGTCGAAAAATATATGGGTGCTGATGAGATACAAGTGTGAGTAGCTGCAGCAGCTGCCAGACTCCCTCGCCCAGCTATCTTCCCTCGACAGATTGGGCGTGTCTTTCTACCAAGCGCAAGCTGCTCCGCCATGAGGGTCGGCCAGCGCAGCCTACGCACTACGCCGAGTCGACTGCAGAGCCCTCACCCACCTCCCTCCCTCCTTCTCCAATCTATCCTCCCTCTAGTACCTGGAAATTCGGTTCGCAGAGAGCCTCCAAGGCGGGCTGCCAAGGCACTTGAGAAGCCTCAAGCGGTTGGACCTCTGCTCCCTGCCGCAGTTTGCCTTCTTGCCGTCGCTCCTTGGCCTCGCTCTCTCACCCACCAGCCTAGCACTGCTGCACTGCAAGGAGGTTACGGAGCTGCTCGACGAGATCGGACGGCTGAAATTGCTTGAAGATCTCACAACCGTGGGCTTGGATGGATTGGCTTCGCTCCCTCCATCACTGAAAAGGAATTGGCCTACAATTTGACACGGTAGTTTTTTTGCCGGGAAAGTGTCGAGAAAACCTCCCCAACCTCATAGCAAGTGACAGAGCCAAAAGTCACATGTTCACAGCAAACACACATATCACTCAAATGTGACATATCTGCAACCTAAGTGTACCAAGATTTCAAGAGACAATGTGGCCTGCTTGAAGTGGTTAATTAAAACTGTGTCCATGCAACAGATTTTTTGCACAATTTGGAGCTTCCCCACTGTAAGAGTGTGGTTCGATGATGGGGAATAGTTGGCCACACGTTTTACAGTTGACACCCACGACGAGAAGGTTTGCGAAACAATTTGCAGGCGAAAAACTTCTGTGACTACTCCGAGACACATGCACAAGTTCTTATTGGTACAATGTACCAATCAAGTAGCTCAAAACCACCAATCCCATCCACCCAGTCCACACCACACCTCCAACCACTCACCTCCATACTGACATGTGTTGCACCCCCATCCCAATCTGACGTGTCCACCTAAAACAAGGATAAAATATCGACTACCCTCTTTTCGAACCACGTCAAAGTTGTTAACTAACCAAGTGACCTATCAACACTCTACCTTATCCGCAAATTGTCGCATCCCTAAAACACAGCCAACTACGGCGCTTCAAAGCGATCTTCCTTCACCAATGCCATCTTCCGCCCAACCACACCTACAGTATTTTTCTATCACTCCTCACTATGTCGACTCACCATTCCCACTTGTACTCACAGACTGCCCATTTTGTCGCGAGACCTGGTAGCACCTGCATTCCCTGGCTTTCCCCATGAATCTTTCGCGACTCATGACACCTCTTTCGATTCTTCATGTGCTGTTAACGGCTTTAAATTTGTGCTTAACTTACGCTCCTTTCAAAATAACGTTGAGTCATTCCCCTTATTTTGTGTTTCTGCATACCCGCCACTGCTCTGCTTCCAGAATGTCTCGCTCAACCCGAACCAGCTCCGTGGCATTGAAGGCGATCTTCGCGTGCTCATTGACCAGCGGGGATGGCATCGATAGTGTGCGTGCGGAGTGCAAGCCCGACTCTCCTCCTGTTCTCCCATTTTTTTCCCTCTTGTTGTATTGTGCTCCTTCGTGCGTGGGATGTCACGTTCCGTTTCTCATGATGTTTCTCTCTTATTTGTTTTCACATGCCTAACACTTCCTTGTTGTGCCGATAGAACTGCTATCTGAGGTCTTGCATCCGCCAGTATACAAGCGGTAATAAATGGGGCAACTTCTTTCTATTTGCCTGTACAGCTCTACCTTTGTGAAGAGCCATTGCTTGTTCTCGTATTGCTTTTCTTCAAAACTGCCTCACTCTGCAGATCGCCGATGATGACATGCAATTAGGTAGGTATGCGATGGGTAGAGTCGTTTTATTGGCCGGTATAGCTCCACTTTTCATTATGCTGATTGTTTTTTGTATTGTCTCTCTTCGAAACCGTCTAATCCTGCAGAACTTTGACAATGACATGCAGTATTGCAGGTACGCATGTGTCAAACAAGTATATTTTAGAATTTTTGTCACTCTTGGTTTTTCTTTCCCTTGTGAAGAGCTAATTTTATAAACAAGACTGAGATTTTGTCATGCTGGTCGTATTGGTTAACATTTGTAGTTCTCTGCTACCTTGCCTCCATAAATTATATATTTTATGTAGGATTGTAACCAATCACGCCTCTATTCTGATAGTTACATCGACGCTCCTTTGATATGATTGAATGAAATTTTGTAGCGATGAACAAAACGATGTCGTACTAGGTACCCCTATCTCAGAATCGACAGATTTCGCCAATGGGAAGACACCGACATTTTCGTCGGTGGCACATTGCATGCAAATTGAGTGCATGCAGCAGCATTATACATGCAAACGAACACCCACTTTCAGTGGTCCATTTGGCTTCCGTTACAAGGCTACCAAGCGTATCCATTGTGGCGTACGTTTCATTTACCACGCGGCACTTGTATACACACATGCTTTCGAGTCACATTTCTGTAATCCACCTGGGGACATTGTCGATGCAATTAGGGTACCTGCACGTGGCATTCCCGTCACATTCCGGATACCTGTGCAAAGAAGCTCTACACCCAGACTCTAAAGCACCCATGTTCTCGCATCCCCGGAATGACTCTTTTGTCACATTTTTCCGGGCCTTGCCTTTTCTGCAATGTCTGTCCCTGTTAGAGCTGCCGCGGCTGCGGATTCTTCGAGTGCGGAACTGCAGGAGGCTCAAGACCCTTCTTAGGATGAAGAGCAGGGGGATTGAGAGGTGGGGGATGGACGGGTGGGGGATGGACAGCTGAGGGATGGAGAAATGGGGGATAGACCAGTTGGTGATGAAAGGCAGGGGAAGCAGCTAGGGAAGGGGAAGCAGCTAGGGCAGGGGAAGCAGCTGGGGCAGAGAAAGCAGCAGGCAAGCAGGTGGGCTGATCCTTGGGGAAAAAAGCCCAAGGCGTAGCCATAACTTGAGTAGCAGCTGCCGCCATGGCGGTACCAACACACCCACAGGCAGTGCAGCAGACACATTACTCCCATCCCTACGGATTCTCCAGCTCATGGGTGTTCCCTTTCGATCGCCCACCCCGTCGTTCTCCCGCCTCTCTTCACTGACCAAGCTGCACATTAAGGACTCTGACTCGCTGCGCTCACTCCCTCATTCAGTATCTCACCTGTCGCGGCTGCAGGAGCTCTTGATATCCATGGAATATGGAAGCGTTGCCAAAAGCACTCTGGTTCTCGATGCTTACTGCCCTTGACCTGGTTTGGCTAGAAAGTTTGCGTGAGCTGCCCGTGTCGTTGGACATCTGTCTCTACTTGAAGTGAACAAAGCTCCTGGATTCGTTCTCCAACTCTCCAAGCTGCACATGTGCATGCATCTCAACTTGAATATTTCGTGCATTCCAGAAGATCTTTGGACAATCTCCTCCCTCAAGACCCCGTTCCTTGCAAAACTCCACAATATTTGAAACCTGCCCGAGTCATTCCTGCAGCTGCCCCGGTTAGAGAAACTGAAAGTATCGAGGTGCAGCCTGTTCGCCAGCACCCTTGCTAGGATCTTGTAAGTGCTATTGAGCAACGTGATTGGCCTGTAATTCTGAAGTCGATCTGGTGGCCCTTTCTCGTGAAGCAGAACAGTAACTGCTTCCTTGATCTGCTGCAGGAAGAGAATTGTGTGATAAAACCCTTCTACCAACTTCATGAAGTCCTTCTCCAGCTCTTCCCAGTTCTGTTCAAAGACCTCTTTGGGTAGCCCATCCTGGCCCGAGACTTCCCTCCTGCCATTTGTCTCAGAGCCGCCTAGACCTCCTCTACCGTCCAGCTGCTGGATAACACCATTCCCTCCTGTTCTGTGAGTGACTTCCCCTTTTCAGGAGACCACGACACCACACCGCCAACCTGGTCCTTCTTGCCGAACATCTCTTCGAAGAACTGAGAGGCCGCCTTCAGGACCACTCGCGAACCTCGGAAATCTTTCCCATTATGGACAACCTTCTCAATCCAGGGCTTTGCCTTCCGCGCCTGAATTTTCCCCGACAGGAACTTCGAGGGAAGCTCTCCATCAAGCTCCGCCTTCACCCCAGCCATCAGCTAAAGCCTGTCCCTTTCCCAGTGCTGATAGTACTTCAGCCTCGTGTGTTGAAGCTGGAGCTCCACGTGCCGAACAGCTGAGGACGGGTTCCTCATCACACATTGCCTCAACTCTCCCACCGACTGCTCCAAATGAGAGATTGTCGCCTTAACCCTCTTCCTTTCTTCCCTGGTGCACGAATGCAGGTTAGTGTTCAGCTTCCTGACCAGCTCCACAAAGTCACCCCTCCCCTCCGAATGGTGTCGTGTCGTTACTTTTTTTATGAGTGCCTTTACCCCAGGCCTGCCAACGAGCGACGCATGAAGGCGCTGTTATAGTCACAATAGGCTCAGGTGTGCCTATAATGAGAGATAGACAGCACAGTCAGATTTCCGTCAGACGGCTTCAAATATTGATAACGATCTCCTGGCTGACTCAAATGGTGATCTGTAAGTTGGATCTGGAGCGCGTTGCTGTCGCCTATCAGCAGCAAGTTGAATCATGAAATTCCATGAAGATGTGGCGATGCTATGATGGTTTGACTGGCAGGAGGTATAGGAGCCACTATAGTCTTGGAAGTACAAACTTAGCAAGAAGAATTCGAGAGGGAGATGGTTCCCAGCCTCTACATACCCCAGGAGCCGAGGTCCAGGTTGGTGGTACACCACCACAGAGTCCCAACCACGAAGAGTCTTGAAAGCAACCCTCCAAGGGGCTACACCAAGCGAAATGTAACACTACACGAAGTAGCGTTACTATTTTCACTATTCAATATTTATCCGCGTCCCTTGGGCTTGAAATCTTGAGCTCTTGGTCTTGGATATGCAAGATAAATTCTTCTTGAGTTTATGGGGGCTTGCTGCACACACCTGCGACGCGATGGACACTT